CGTGATGACGGATCGTGTTTCTGTCTATTTCTGGTTGTGAATAAATGCGCACTCAGGGCCTTCGCTTACTCACGATAGGTGTATCTAACAGACGCACTATCGGCCTTCTCCTAGACACTGTAACTTCAAGACGCTCTAATGGCCTTCTCTCCGACACTGTATGTAAACACGCTCTATGACCGTGCTTAACACACGTTAGAACATAAAGTTCCCCTCTCTAAATTGACTCATCAATTCAATACTTCATTCCAAGACATTCAATTATGAAGAGTACATGAGGTATTTATAGATGCATAAAATAAATCAAAGCCTAATCAAACTAGATCTCCTAAATCAATAATTAAAAGCAACATGGTAATAAAATCCTATTATTACTAAAACTACTAATGCTTGGCTTACACTCCAAGAATTTCTAGAAGCTCCAAGTCTTTCCCACGCCCTAAGACTCTCGGCCACCTCATGTCGTGCGCCGCCTCACTTTGCGCATGTGCGCGTCTCGCACTCCTCGGTGGATTGGGTCTCTTGCGCATGTCGCTCCCATGCGTCGCCCGTTGCACCTGCTGTCCATGCGCGCGCCGTGTCGTGCACGTCACCGCCATGCTCGCCTAGTCCTTCGGTGACTAGGTGTAACACCCCGACTTTCTAATACATCAGAGTACGCGGTTTTTCGCAAATTTTCTGAATAAGTAAATAAATAAACTAACCTTTTTAATTTGCGAAACTGATTCGGGGGTTACCGTGAAAAACTTAACTTCTGAAAACCGTTAGACTTTAAAGCTAATACATAAACGGTCATAATTTATTATCCGACTAATGTCGGAGCAAAGTCTGAAAGTTTTAGCGGAAGTCTAGCGTGGTAAAATCATAAGAGTCTGATAAAAAGTTCTGAAAAGTTTTATCTTTCAACATCAAGTACATCAAACACAAAATATCCTGAACAGCTCGCCCGCTCACTCCTCATCTCCGACCCTGCGACCTGAAAATCATGAAAATGTGGGGCGTGAGCACTAAGGCACTGTGCTCCGCAGAAACTCATGCTAATGTATAACATCGTAAATAAAAACATGATCATGAACTGAGTATATATAACTGAACTGAACTGATATCTGATAACTGATAAAAATAACCGGTTTGATCTCGCGACCGAAGTCACGTAACTGATAACTGAATCTCGCGACCGA